ATGTTCTTCCACACAAGGATCATGCGGTGAAAGAAGGGTGCTCCAGACCCCAGCAGTTTCAACAGACCTTAAGCAAAACTCTGCCTGCAGCAGAACAGACTTTGTTTAAGCTGAGACTCCTGCTGAAGGTCACACATCTCTTCTTGGAGTGATGGCAGGATTTCAAGACTTGCAGATCAGCAGAGACTTGCCTTTAAGCAGAGCAGGTCTGAGCCTGGACAGAGGAGCACCCACTTCCCTTGAGCAGCTCCAGCTGCAGGCCTGCAGAGCAGCCTATGCACCAGCCTAGCCCAGCATTCTGCAGGACGGCAGAGTTAGGCACACACCCCTCCATACAGCTGCTTACATCCTTTATGTTTTACATAAATACATATTTCAGTGAACACAATAATAGTCCTGATGTTTCCACAAAGTACGTTTGTATCTGCTGCAGTATGTGCTTTCCACTTAATTACAATTATTTTCTTACACAATCCCAGCACTCTGGACAGTGAAGATGCTCAGAAATGCATGGGCCACATGTAGTCCACTGTTCCACCCTGCATCCCAAGTAACTCTCCTGACAGAGAAAACACTGAGCACAAATCAGCACTGGGCACTAACCACAGACATTTAATTCAGAACTACTTGAACGCAGCACTCAGCTTTCAGCCCCATTGAGAACATTTCTCCCACTGCGTCACTTCTCCCTGAAAGTATCACAACACTGGTAAGCACCTTCCAGCTGTCTCCTTTACAGTTGCTATCTTTGGCAGGATTGTCTCCCTGAGTTGTGATTGTGAAGGAAAGTACGTCGTCATTAGAGTCACAAGACTTTAACAGCAACTCACCTCAGCTAAGCTTCAGGGCTCACTGTCTAAGCCTTTGTAATTACCTATGGAGACAAAAGGAAAGCAATCAGGTCAGCATTCCCCTCTGTGCTGCAAGAGCTCAGTAGAAAAATATGATGAGTGCTTTTAACCCAAGGAAGAGTACTGTTGTTCTCAGCTCTTTGCAGAGCTCAGCAAAGCCATTTTTCATTAGTTTGAAATTTACCACAGAAAAATACCTGATTTTAGATTGGGAGAATTCCTATTTTAACACAGTGTTTTATTTTCTTTTCTCATAGGTCTTTGCTATAAACAGCGCAGATACAAGTGAAGTCTGTAATGTCGCTATTGGCTTTGCTCACAGCAGATTTCATGCTCCAGCTAACTCTGTATTGGGATTTGTTTGTTTGAAGATAGGAATTGCATAATTTTCCTTCCATGAGCAATGAAAAATGCAGACAGAACTGCTCATTAGGAATACATATTTGCTACCAGTAGCAACAGAGATAACAGGCCTGAAACAATTATTTTTGTCTCTTAAATCCACCAAATGCAGCCACCATCACCTCAGTGACCTGGAGGCAGTGAGGGGTTTCCATTGTCATCTTCACACAAAGGCAGAGGCACCTTTACTTACCTGTAATCTGAAGGTATCAGTGTAGGACTGTCACCCTTGAGTTTCACCAACATGAGCACAACTTGACAAAAATGCCCCCAGAACACCCCTGCCATCTGAAGCAGCATTAACAGACTGCCCACTGCTGCAGCAAGGCAGGCAGCACTTGTAGCACTTCGGCTCCCAGACCTGACTGTAAACCAGCTGATGGCACTAAGAAGGAAACAGCACTTATTTTCTTCCCATTGCTGCTTATTCTATTCATTCTCTTGTCATTCTCAAAAAGATACAAGTCTAAAAAAAAAAAAAAAAAAAAGCAAGTAACCTGATAGACATCTCTCTAAATTTAGCTCTGTCATTACTATGGCATTTTCATTCCAAGAGGTGTAACAGGAGAGGCATCGTGAACCTTGCACTAGGGAGTGCTTAGACCAAACGGGTACCCAGACATGCAAGGAAGAGGCAAATACTAAGTTTGCAACTCATGCTGGAGTAAGATAACCTCAAACAACACCAGGAATCTGGAAATGCCAGTTGTGTGCAGGGACAAATTCTTTTCAGAATTGGATAAAATCAAATAAGAGAAATAATAAAGAGAAATCTTGAGAGAATAAAGAGCTCTACAGTTAATTAGAATGCCATTGAGTTTGCATTACTGACAGACTACAGCCAGCTCAATCCTACACACCAGTTCCAAGCCATAAAGTTTTGCAACCACTTATCGAAGAGGCCACCTGGCTGTACTGTATGCCCAAGCAAAAAACATCCCACATATCTAAGGAACAGTAAACTGGATCACAATGCAACAGTATCGTGAATGAATCTATATGAACTGGAACACAGTGCAACAGTAAACTCCACCACAATGAGACCCTATCACAGGCCAGCTGAAGGTTCAACTTCAGCACATTTTTCACAGAAGTAGGGAAGGTCACTGTGCAAGGGACTCCAAATTCTCCACAAGCATTCCATGAGTAGTTTGGGCAATTTCTGACACAGATCACATATCAGGGGCACAGCTCCTCTTGATGCAGGAAAAAACATTCTTCTTCTGGTAATAAGTGGGAAAAAACACATTATGAAATGAGAAGAACCTTGCACCAACCACTGAAGACGGGTACCAAGGGACCAGGAGTCTGCATGTGCCAACATCAGACAGCAGCAGGCTCTTGCTGCCCTCACTGCCCTTAACACACTGAACATCTACACCAAAATGTTGTCTGGGGAAGAAGTACTGCTCCGTTTCAATGCCAACAATGCGGAGCTGAAGAATCAGGAATTAAGTAGACAGTGTTTTAAAACACCTTCTAAAGACAGTATTTTAAAACAAGTCCATAAAGCTCTACTGTAAACAGCATGAAAACAGAAGAATGAGTATTTTGATCAACGTCGATCGATGCTTTCATGAATCAAATACGTTTCCAGCATGCCAAAATTTGCAATAATGAGTCACTTCCCTGGATGTAATCATTGCACCAGAAGAGTGGTCAAATCCTGGTAATCCTGTGCAAAGAGCGGCCTGCACAGAAATGACGAGGTGGTCTGTGGACAACACTGCTGCGTAAAGCAGACCATCTTTGTCTCAAAATGCTATGCTTAAATGTGGATTTGAGTGAAAACAACGCGTGCAGTAAAGCTAACAGCGGAAACCGCAGTCTTCAGGCAAGATCTTCTCAGTTTGTTGTTATTTTTAGTTGCTTTTCCTTCTGACATTTTAAACAGACACACCAGGAAACTTGAGTGGTCAAGTCAGCTCCCTCCAACCCCACCAGAAGTCAGGACCCAAAAAACTGAGTTCTTTGAAATCAGATTGATACATTTGATTTCACAAACAGTTAATACTGGAAAAGATATAAATCTTTTTCCAGTTACAGCATACTTCACAAAGTTTAAATGCCTCTGAGGGGGCTTCTGAACTGTCAGTGCTGGTATTAGTAGGCAAAGAAAGTCCCATTTTAATTAGAAACTTTATTTTGAAATACATTACACAGTTTACATGTGAAGTGCTTTCGCTGTAAGATACTTCAAAACATTGCACTGAGCAAAATGGCTGACCGGTTTCCTTGAAGCTCTTCCAGATATGTTTTGTTTTTATTAACAATATCTTACAGAACTAAGATGCAACTTAGGCATTTGTATTCAGAAGCTATTACTAGGTTTACCTTAGGGAGAAAGTACATGCTTAACTGTTCCAGTTAACTATGTGCTTCAGTAATGATGTTAAGGATTTGGCATTAAGACTGAAAGAAACCTGAGTCCTAATTAAAACTCATATTGAACAAAGATTAAAAACAAAAAAAACCTTCTGAAATTACTTTTTTAATAAGGCACAGTCAGACATGTATTTATAAAGACTGGCTACCAACTCAGTTTTACTTGCACAGCCTCCTTGCTGCTGTGTCAAAAGCAGTCTGAAAATTGTTTGACCTGTCTGCTGCTGAGAATTTTCAAGAACAAGGCAGAGCAATAAGGCAACTAAAAGAACAAAGAAAGGAAGTTCAGCATTTGTGATGGATTCTGAACATCTGCAGAGTAGTTCATTCTGTAAATGGAGCATTCATCTGTTGTTATTAAAATGGTGGTCAACTGCGACAAGGAAAATAGAAGTGGTGCAAGCAAGGCATGTTTGCAGAAGGAATATTGCAAAGGTTATTTTTTGTTGCTGCCTGTGAGGTTTTTGATCCCCCTCCCCCACTTCCAAAAACTCAGGACATTTGCTATGTTTCAGGTGAAGAGCATGCAGCAATTCCCACAGCTTTCCAAGATAATCTAAATTGAATTCCTAAATTTCCCTCCATTACCCAGGAAAGCTGAACATAACAGGAGTTTGCTTGACAACAGGTCAAATATCAGTGAATGAAATCTCCATTTAGATAATGAGCCAGAACTGCCATTCTATTTTGCATTTCTTATTAGAATGAAAGAAAACCTTCAGGAATAATAACAATTCAAACAATTATACCATTATTTTGGAAGAAAGTTCAAGAGCTCATAAGATACCTTGTTGTTTCAAGAACATGAAGGAACTCAACCCTCAGAGGAAAAAAAAAAAAAGGAGGAGAGGAGGGTGCAGGACAGAGGAGAGAAACCTTACCTTCCCCTCCCAGTTAAATCCTTGAGGAATAATTGCTTGAGAGTACCACCGTATGGCTTCTGTGGCCTATGAATGCTTCACAGATACTCTAAAAAACTATCATTTTAAGCTGCTTGCTTTCAGTTTAAGTCACTTAAAATAAAAATACCGCATTCATTCCCCTACGATAACCAAACCAAGAAAAGAAGTCATTAAAAGCATTTCTGATACAAATTTGTATCACATATTAAAAGATATCTTATAATTCTGTAAAACAATTAAAACACACAAGTTTTTAAAAATTCTTTCGCACAGCTGAACTCAGTGCAGATTTAAGATAAAAAAATCTGTAAATGAAATAAGCATAACAAATGTTGAATATAAAATACATTCTAAAGTATTTTACAGAATGGCTGAATTTCAAGCAAAGAACTGAGGATAAAGGATGTTAATGACAAGCAGCCACATACAGAACACAAAGCAATAAGTTTAAATCAGACTATTTTGGTTTGTGTAGCCCTTTATTAGCAACTAAAATAGAAGATATCTGTTGTACATCACGGGTAGTAACTGACTATACTGGAGTTTTATTATATTCTAATACAGGATCATTTATAAATGCGTTGTTTTCCTTTTTTCCTTTTATTAAAAAGCTTCCACTCCTTTTTTTCCCCATTTACAACTTGCAAAACTATTCTGAAAGCTGAGTACATGTGCACAGGTCTGCAAAGAGTGCAAATTTAGGATATGGTAAATGCTTTACATGTCGCACTTGTAAGGACTGTCTGCCACCCATGCCTTCACAGCTATTATCTTTCCTAAAAATCACACAACGTTTTGATACCACTCTTCCTTCCATCGTCCTAAACAAGAAAGCATTTTTAAATGAGTTGAAACTAAGGAAGGACTACACCTACTAGAAAAGAAGTTCTATTAGTTTGAGGTTTCAGTATACCCAAAGACCAGGGACTGTATCTTTGTAAGGGCTAGGCTGGGACCCCGTATACAGAATGTGTGCAGGTGCCATCCCTGAGCATTCAGCAGTTCAGTGAACCATAAGTGCTCCAGCTGCGTAACTCACTGAGCTGTCTTGCCAGTTTCGACACTGGCTTGATTGAGCGTAATTCAAAAATGAAAAGCTCATATTCATTCCATTCTTCTGGAGCTCATTGATAGCCTGGAGAGAGGAAGGAAAAAAAAAAAGGGATCAGACCTCAGTTCTTTCCCCAGCCCCTTGAGGGCTCTGGCCCCCCAATGTACTACATACATCCATGCAGCTCTATACAGCAACACCAAACAACCTTTCAAAATAGATCCTTTGCAAACCACTTACACCTCTATGAGGAATTTATACAGAAATACAAAAAAAATTGTTAACAGTTTTTAGACAGTATTTTTTCCATTGAAGAAAAAGAAAACACCTGAAATACATTTTGTGACAACTGGCAAAAGCAAGCTAACAGAGTTTAGCCCAGTCCCATTGCAAAACTCATCATTATTTGAGGCTGAGTTAAATATTTCTGCAGTTAAGCCATAATACTGAATTTTTATACTCGCATCTCCAAGTATTGATATTGTTCATATGAACTTCTAGAGACCACACTTTAAAAGGCTCTTCTAGATGTTCTACACAGACTACGTTTCCAGAGAATTATATCTTCCCCTTGTAAAAATGTTAGTGTGCCTTATATTTTAGATTTAAATTGTATTAAAAAAAAAATACAGTGAGATTCTAGATTTAAATTGTATTTAAAAAAAAAATACAGTGAGATTCACTCAAGCATTATGATAAATCCGCAGCACTCCATCAGTAAACCAGCTGTGACCCATTTCAACTAATAAGTTAAGGCAGGTTTATGCCTGCACTGCATCAAAGCAAAGAAGTATAAAATACCAGTTAAGCTGAACTCTAATTGCCATAAATTTATGAGTTAACGGTGCACTGCACTCATTCTTACAGAAGTGCCTTTGCATCATATTTGCAAACAATGTTGTCACACATCACAAGGCATTCACAATAGCTAGCTAAATGCAATACTGAAGAAGAATATACACAGAAAGTGCATTTCTAAGTACTGACTCGGAAGAATAAGAACATACTTCTTCACAGAGATGGATTTTATTTTAAATTGCCAAGAGAAAGTGAATAACTTTCATTGAGATTCAAAAGGATCATGGTACCTCATCTCCCTCAGGCAACTGAAAGCCTCAGGCTTTGTAAGAATATTTGTCTACGAGCAAGACAAGGAAATTAGAGACCGAACTGAGAATGCTTGGAAAAACAAATTAATTCAGGACTTGCCATTTTAGAGCTAAGGAATACTTCAGCAATATTACATGTAAAACAAATGCAAACACGTTGCTAAACGTTACACATCTTAATGGATCAGACGTTACTTACATTTAATAATACGCCAATAGGATGTCTTCCACATATTGTATTATGGTATTTCTTCAAGTAATTGCTAAAAGATACAGGATCTAGCTGCTCTATAATGTTCATACCCTGAAAAAGAATTGATAGCAATGATTATTTTACACATTCATAAGCAGGTACCTGTGTAATCACCTACTTATGAACACAGAGGATTTTTATTCCTCATGTGCTCTACTTTCTATCGAGGGCATCTCAGCATGTGAGGGTCTAGCCTGCAGCCTTCCTGCCATCAGCCCTTAAATTACAAAGGCAGGAACTCTTCCAAATCTGTCAATGACCCAAAGATCTGTGATACTCTCCTTACAGGTATCAATGAAGTTCACATTAAAAGTCTCCTCTCGTAGACCAGTTGACTCCCACCTCCAAGGATCCCTGCTTTCATAGGATTTTGTACTGCAATAAGCAGACACAGTTACTAAAAAAGCAAAGCAGGAAGAAGTTTCTCCTCCATCTGTTTTCTCTGCTAAATCTTCCAAGACAGAGCACTTCCCTGGAACTTCTGGATGTCAAAAAGCTCTAGACAAATTATACATGTGCAAATCAAGCACACAGACTGATGTTTCCTAGACATATCAAGCACACAAACAAGGCAGTTGATCTGGGCACAGGAGTGCCATTTGCTTAGAGCATAAAAATCAGATCCAGAATATGTCTAAAGCACTGGCAAGTTGGGACACCACAGAACCCTAAGAGCCAGGAGACCATGCTTCCATATTCCACAGGGCCATCACATTAATACATTCCTTTCCAACCACAATGAGACCCACGATGACATGGGGTCTATAGGAAAGCTAACACTTGCAAGGAAAACAAAACCTCCCACGTGTGCAAATATTGGCATTCTCAAAAGCAAATGGAATCTTGCAACTACACACACAGCCTACTCTTTTCCTATCACCAAACAGCGAATCATACATGATGAAAGCAGTTCAAAGCAGGTCAAACACTGCTGCTGCTGTCCGGGTTTCACCACAGTTTTGTTTGGCTACACCAGTGTCCATCTTCTGCTGCTTTTCCTCCCTCTGAAAATGATTAATTCTGTTCACCAGGCCAACGAGCCCCAGACACTTACTAATCAGTAGGACACATAGCTGTGCTTCTTAATTGTAGCTGAAGAAGCAGGAAGGTTTTTCTCAGAGACCAGAAGAAAAGCATACACTTTGCATGGGAACAATGGGAATTTTATATTAGAACGCTACATTAAAAAGGAAGAACAGAGATAATTTCTCCAAAGATTTCTTCTGTTTCTGTTTCCCAACCACTTCTCCTGATTTTGTGAAGCATAAGTGATAAAAGCAGAAATCATGATGCAGGAAGAAGTCTGTCTGAAGTCTCCACGTCAGGAGTGAAACCTCTTTAATACTCCGTAAGGGTGTTGGCTGATGTGGCAGATATACTAATTATTCAGACTGGATCACAGCCGAGAATGGAGCTGGAGATTCCCATGAGCATCAGGGGAGGATTAGAAGACAGCAACCATAACCATCGCTTACGTGTAATTTTAATTAAAAACAGACGTAAGATGATTTCATAAAAAGATTAACTTTACAGAAAAATAAAAGCAAGCTATACTGACTAACTGCTGGCAAGAGCCCAGTTCTTGTAGTGTCACAGACAAGGTGTTCAGACCCCTGGCTGGTAATCAGCTGTTACTCACACTCTAGATCTACAGAACTTAAATGAACGCCAAAAACAAAGGCAGCTCCTCTCTAAGTAGCAATGACTATGGATACTGCTGCATTTCTAAGAAGTTTAAGAAGCACGTACTCAAATCATGCATTTATTGCTGAATTGTACATGTGAATATACTAAAGATAGCAGAACCAGATACTGAATGAGCTCAGAAGAACATATTTCATCCATTAACAAACCATTTCATGACTCTAAAAGAAAGGCTGCTCGCCTAAGAAGCTCACTTTATAGCCATAAATCACTAGAACATACTGTGCACGGGTATTTGAGCATGTCTCAAGTGAATGAATGAGGATTTATAAGAATGCCACATAAGCTTATTTCCATGCACAAATCAGCTCTGCAAGCATTTAGAGCTACACAGTTCATCCCAGCAAATATTAACAGAGCTCCATACATTGCTGAGTTGATACAATCCATTGGAGATTGGCAGTAACCACTATCCTATCAGCATTCAGCACCACTGGACATTCCAAACTTCCAAATTTAAGAACTGTGGCAGAACCAAGCTTGGTTCTTCATCTAAAATGACTTTGAGGAACAAGAGAAATACTTCAATCAGGTGGTGCTTTGTTTGTTCCAGAAATAAGTATGAAGCTAGTGAGAAACTTTCAGCATTTGGAATAACTGCTCTAAACTCAGCTCAGCTGAATTAAAAATATATGACAAAAATGTAAACTATCACAAAGCTTTACAGGTTATCACATAGATATTACAGCATATATCAGTTAACCAGGCATGATAAATGGCATCTACAATTACCTAGCATGGTGTATACAATGTAATTAAACACACTTAACCACCATTATCACACTTAGGGAAGCAGAAACTTGGTGTCAACACTAGTCAGTCCAGCTCGCCTTGTACACCAGAGTCACCCAGACTAGGAGATAAACATAAAAAGTAACGGCTGGGCACAGCAGAGACTGAAGAGGCAGGCAGTCAGGCTGGAAGTCATAGTCTTGCATTACACCTAAGCTAAAAAGACTTCTCAGGTTGGAGCTCTCTGGAAGTACTAACACACTGGAGTGGTCGGTAAAAACCACCTCAAAAGCCAGCCGTGCTGTGCACTGCTTCTCCACAAAGACAGCTGGCTGCTCCTGAACAGCTCCCCTTCCAGTATTCAGAGGAACAGAATCCTGCTGACTCAAGTGAGATTCAAGGCTTCACAAACAGACACAAAGTGAGCAACCTGGCAAAGAAGGTTGGAATGCATAGTCTGAAATCTCTGGTCAGCCACAGTCGAAGAGTAATTACTCTTCAATGATGCACTGCAGAATACTCTGCTCTTATTTAAGAAGCAGGCAAGTACCAGGTTATAACATACAAAGACAGTGCTGTACATCCGCTGCTTAATTACAACTGTCCATTTGAGGCTTCTCCCTGAAGGTACCCCTGTTAAAGAGGAGGTGTGGTGCCCCTATCAGTGATCACACTGCAAAGCAACAGAAGGGGCACATTAAGAGTTGCTGGGGAGAAACTGACATCTGCCCAGCAATATTTACAACTCTGTATCTTCTATGCTCGAGTCTCAAGTCTTTAACAGAACCACAGTAAATGAGATTTCTCACAGTGATTAAGAGGTTGGAAAAGCTCTAGTGCCAGGAATGGTGAGGGTTGTTTATACACTAGCTAGGAAAAAGTCACACACATATACCTAAGATGAAGTCTAAGATCACAGTTCTTCCATAAGGCTATTTCTAAAGAAAACTCATTTTTATCTCAACACAGAATACTTTCCTGCTTACAAAGTCTGCTGCTTTGCTGGCTAGTAAATAATTGTAAATTATTGCCCTTAGCTAGCAATAATTTTATTGGATCAGCAATCACAAAGGGTGACATCTCCTCTGGTTTTAAAACAGCTTTGTCTCTAACTTCATGCTATTTTCTCTATGGAGAGGCCCAGAAGTTATAACCGTAGTCTCTGCAGCACACCAAGTGACATTAAAAAACTCAATACTTGAGATAAACAAGCAAACAAAAAAGTCACTGAATGGGGCATATGAAATTGAATAGAGTCATCCAAAAAGCTGGGAGAATATGACAGGCAAATCTTCGTGGCGCTGTGCTTCATGTCCTATTGCTAGAAAGAAATTCCCTAAAATCACTAAAAACATCACTCTGTATCAAGTTAGAACATGGAGTCTTACTATGGAATTATGTTTCACATATGCATGATATGAACCAACAGGCAAGAAAGTATACTGCCACAAAGCATGGTTAGTTTTCCAGTTAGAATTAAGACAAAGACAGTACTTTTCAAGTCACTACACTGTGTGCAGTAGACAACAATTTCACCAGAGCTTCAAAAATGTCATTTCTTTTTGGCTGAATAACTACAAAAAGAAACAGCCCAAAGCAGCATATTCATCAAAAGTAATTAAATTCCAAAGTCCAGCCTTCTTCACAGAAACAAGCAAGAGGAAACTATGTTCGCTAACGCACTTTTTCTCCTACAAAAATATGCAGAGCTGCAAGTTCTGGGACTCTACACAGAGAAACCTCTCAACTGACAATAGGAATTAGTAAAAATGGCATTGAGTGAAGGCAAATTTACTGCTTCTATTCCAGCAATGATCGGTGAAAACCAAAGACGTCAATACAGATACACAAAGAAAAAAACTCCAGAGCTCTCTCCAACATATTTTACTCATTTCAGACAGGAGAAAAAGAGATAATGAATAAATGCTCCTTAAATAACAATAGCTGCCTCTTCCAAAAGATTTACAGAAGTTGCAGAAACGATCCAATATTTTTAGTTGAATTTTGAAGCTGTGTTCCCAGGAAAATTACTTCTACTCTGAGTTAAATATTATTTTGAGGGTTAACACATTTTTTTTTTCCTATTTAAAAGGAAATATCTGACTCCTATGATTGCAAAGAAAATGTAACAAAACCGGTATTACAGTCTCTTGTGTATTTCACATACATTCCAACCATTTGCCAAACCTAGAACATAGTATGGTCTAGCATTTTTCCCCAATCAACCGTTACAGAATAGAAGAGAGGTAAGACTGCTCCCCCAAGAAACAGGGACTTGTGTTTACCTCTAGAGCACAATCCCCTACAGCCTTTCCTCTTCATAACGGATGATGCTGAAACCTTTAATACAATCATGAAGATCACAAAGCTGTTTCAATATGCAGCTATCAAGTCTGTACTACCACAATATTTAATAATTTTTGCTGTTTTTCATAGGCATAAGAAGGTGCATGGACAGGAATTCACTGGGGGAATTGTAAGTAGGTAACATGCATGTATTCTCATAAAATATGCTTATTAGATTACACCCACAATGTACCGTGCACGCTCAGTAAAACAGAAGATATTAGTAAAAAAAAAAACACAGTTAAGTTCTTTCTCTGGTAAGCAAAGGAAATGCACACATACAATAAAACAGCCAACCTGTAACACTTTGTTAGAGAAGTTTCCGACGTGTTCAAAGTAATGTAAAGTACAGGAGAAACTTGTTAGTTCCACCAAATCTGAAAACTTACCATTTTATCTAGGTGCTCAATGGATCTATAAATTTCTCCTTGGGATTCATCATAGTAACTGTAACGGAACCTCTGACCTTGAAACAAAAATCATGTATAAAATAAAAAAGGGAAAATTTGTAGCTAAAACACTCCCTAGTACTTACAAATTAATTGAAACTGTAATATCTGTAAGTAGTACTCTTCATTTGCTTTACACCTTTTAGCTCCACTGAGAAAATTTTAGGGCTACCACAGAAGCAGCCCAGAAGCCAAGCAAAAGAACTTAAGAGAAGGGCAGCTGTACTTGAAAAAAAACCAAAACCAAAACCAAACCTGCTCTGTAGAACTGACACTGCAGTATCACTTAGTAGTGGCCTGTGAATGCCTTGGACTCAACTTCTATAAGTTTACATGTAAAGTAACATTTCTTTTTGCTATTCCTCTTCAGACAAAAGGTCAACCCTGGAGTCAAGCTACTACTGCTCACACAATAATACCCACTGTAAATAAGGTTACAAGAAAAAGCTCATGATAATCCAATTAAACAGTTCTAGATGACTCATTGGCCACAGCTGAACACAGGTCACTCTTCTACAGCTCCACCTATTCCACAGTTCAAAGATGAGTAAAACATGAACTTGGTTATATAAGGTGACCGAAGATGACCATGAATAAAAGGGAAGAAGGTCTGCTGTGTAACATGAAACATCTTTGTGAAGCAGTTCCCCTTTCCAGCAATTGTTACAGTAAAGGGAAAACAAAGCATTAAAGCAGAATGACAGATGTCAAGGCTTCTGGAATCTATCTAGTTCTGCCACCATGAAGAGGGATAACTCTGCTGAGTTGGCATAAGTATTCCATTTGCTAACTTACCCAGCAATAAAATATACAAAACTTATTTCCAAAGGGATGCTGTCATGTCCAGTGAATTGTAAACTAGTTAGTTTTGCAATATCCTTTGAGATGTTTAAGAGTAAAAAAAAAAAAAAAAGAAACTTCAGATATTTCATTGTAAGTGAAAAGATATTTATAAACTCGTATTTCTTCACCACTTCTTTGCTACACTGAAAAATATACTATCACTTCATTTTTGTCTATTGCTCCAACTTTCATTTTTTTTTTTTAAGTTTCAAATACACATTTACCAAAAGTTAAAATGTCAAATTGTGTTTCATGAAAGACATTTTTTAAGAAGCAAATACAAAATATTAATCATACTGCTGTCATGGAGAGATGTGAAACTTACCCCAATGGCAAAAGTCAGAAGAAACCACAAAGAGGTTACTAGGATCAGCTAGGTATTTACTGAAGAGTTTTCCAAATTCCTGCTCTTTTGCCTCACTCAGTGCTCCGACCAACACAGGAATAATAGTAAACTCATCCTTATGGCTTGTAAGCAAAAGAAAAAAGGCTGTAATTTAAATGACATCTTAAGGTGCTTTAGGACTTGCTAAAAATTTGCAGAACGTTTTAAAAGGATGTTTTAGAACTATAGTACACGTGATAAGGATCACACTCCTAAGTTGCTTTAAAACCTGAAACCACTTCAGTTTCAGAATATAAACCCCTCCCCAAAACAGCATTTTTGCTGCAAAATGGAAACACTAGGAAAATGAAAAGACACATTGAAACCAATAAACAAAAAGAAAATCTCCGTGTACAAGTACTGTCCAAATGTAGACTATTTTTCCAAGCAAATAATACTTGTCTCTGACCCCTCCTCCCCAAGGTTTTCATTGAAAGATGGGGAACTATGGTAGGAAAATCCCTACAAAGAATATTACCTCTTCCGTCTGTACTTTAAATGTCTCAACTGCATTTTAATGCACATCATGGACCTCTTGTATGAGAAGTAATTAACCCTAGTACCTTTCCATGGCTTTAGCAGTATAAGGCAAATGCATTTCAATACTGTGTTCATCTTCATCTGTCTGTAAAGACATACGCTCAAACATTCCGGTCTTCCACAGTTCTCCATAAACTGAAATGAATCAAAAATATTTATATCATTCACAAACACACACAAACAATAAAGCAAAATATAGTGCACCATTATCAGAAATAAGCCTAGTAAATCAAATTACTTGTCTCCAAGAGCTGTCAACATAAAGCATTTGATTTCTGCATCAATTTAAGATTAAAGTTATGTTCAAATCATAAATTATTTAATTCACAGAATAAAGGCGTGTTAAATCAAGTCACCTTGTTAGTATTGAGATTTTCAGTTACTGTACAAGATCTAATAATAAAGCTTCATAGCACAGTAGAACATAAGAAATATACATGCACTGCCTAGACTTTCAACTCTGATCATATATATATATATATATATGATGGTGTAGTTTAGGAAAATATATACATATTTTTAAAGTTGACCAGCTGAGCCATTGCTGGATGTATTACTACTACAGCTATTGAATTATGAGGTCTAGAGAAAGCAAAATCTGATTAAGTAACCCACCCCTATAAGTTAATTTTCATTCTCCTAAGCAAACTTGGTGGTATGCAAACAGTGATCTCTGCATTTGAAAGCTCTACCTGGTGGGTCACCTGATGTAGAGAACTGCCTCATCCTCCATTACAGAAATGCAAAACCTGAAATATTTGGTACCTAAGGAAGATTTTGCAGGCACCACACAGGAAGCCTGAACTAGCTTGGTTAATCAGTGATAACGAGATAGCAACATAAAATTGGCTAAATACCACTAGATTGCTAATTAGATACTGTATAGTTTAGATATACTTTGAAACATACACAACTCAGAATATCACAGCCATCCTCACTGCATCTTTAAACTTACTGTCAAAGACCAGTCTTTCATGGACTAAGTCCTGTAGGCACTGCATCAGTGTAAAAAATAAGTCACATGCAATAGAGCATCCAAATAAAGGTAGTTTTTTGTTCCTTTATTAGAAATACACTCAAGCCAACTACAGCACTGTGTTTTTTGCAGATAGGATACTTCAGAGAATGCTGGAGCACGCGTGTGGAGGGGCTATTAATTTAATGCAGCACTTGTTAATTTTGTGATTGCTTTTTAAGATTTGTCAAGAAGCACAAACTCATACTGATAAAGATTATTTAAATAAAGACTGAGAATTGTTCACACGCAGGAGCAAAAGGCAATGATCTTAATATATTGGTGCCTGCAACCACCAGGATCATCAAGAAGTCAGCTTTCATTGGAGTAAAAAGTTTCACATTTGTATGCCACACAAAAGCAATGATGTGCCCAGCACCACAAGGGTCCTGAGCACTGCACTGTCACAGCTAATTCTAAAGCCCCAGCAGTCAACAGCAAGTAAGCTTTATTGCACACTTACTCTTTTGGTCAATTCGGAGATCGTACAGAGGCGTTCTATAAATGTCCACACTGGAAAGTGCACATCGGGAAAGGGGCACGTGATGGGAAGGCCCAAGAATGAAAATTTTTCGGCTACAACGATCAAGAAAAAAGGCCCAGAATTTAGACAACAGCAATTGTACAGAGACTTGGTTTCGAGTGACAAGTTCCACAAAAATGCTGACATATGAAGTGATACTTTCAGCAGTTACCTGGTGGTTAACAGCAGAGCTTTATTCTATTATGAATCAGACCACAGATCAATCCTTGATCCAGCCTCACTCAGTTACTCAGGAACAATCATAAGACCAGTGCAGTAATACTTCATGTAGCTTTAAACCTCTTAAACAGATTATATACCAACACTAATCACCTAGCAACTGACTGGAGTCATCTGAAGGCAGAATTACACATGATAGCCCTTTGGTCCAAGGAATGAATTGAAAATCTAACTCAACCTTCAGTTATACACAGTCAACGATTACAGGTATGCACTCTCAAATGAGGATTATAGATCTATCATCTATTCAGAGCTGTTCAATAGTTTACTTGATGAGCCTTTACTTCACGCTTTACCAAATTCCACTTTAAGCTAATCTCAAATGGTGTATTTGTCCAATTGTTGCATTAAAAACAGGGATTTGGATCTACACACTTATAGCTTCAGCTGACATTGCCCTGATATTCTTCCACCCATCATCAAGATATTTCATGAAGTCATCAGTTCCTGGCTCTTGCTTAACTATTAGGAGCTCTCCTGTCACAGAACTTCAGAAAAATCTACAGGAAATTCAGCTTTTCAGAATCAGGATCACATGATATTTCTGCACTGAACTAAAGTGGTGGAGACATCAAAAGATTTTCAATTCTTCTTTCTTACATGTGAAATAAGAGCAATACTAAAACGCTGTACTTGTTTACAGAGCTCATACAAACCAAAAAATCTAAACGTGCAATAGTTCAGTTGAAAGATTAATTACACTCTAGTGAATTCTAGACATCCCATGCAATAAAACAGGAACTGATCCAGCAAGTTCAATTAACTCACTGTATCACTGAACCTGGGGAATGCAACTTGATTTAGTTTTAGAGAAACCAGTTCTCTGGCACACTAAATTATCTTCACTTTGTTTACAATAGTTTAGAGTGCATGCTAACATTGTCTTTGGGAGTATGACATTTATCTCATAAGCAATTGATAGAGCCAGTTTTTAGACTGGCATTACAAGATCCACACAGTGAGTGAACATTGGAGATGTTTTAAAATTCTCATTGAACAAATGTTGCTGTCAAAATAGGCAAGACCTGTATTTTTTACTAGAATAAAATCTCTTCATATTTTTAGATGAAGACACAGACTACAGTGGGGGTAGTTTGTTGGTGGTGTTTCTTTTTTTTTAATTTTGGGGTTTTATTTCTAAGCCTGTGCCATTAGTAACACAAATCCATTTAAAACTATTACAATAAGTAACTTTCACTGACTTCAAATATTATATACATGCAATGGTTACTTTTTCTCCACAGCAGAAGAGAATCCTGGTAGCATTCAGCCCACAATCCTGCACTGAAAAACCGATGCAGAATTGTGATCAAATACTTCAGTATACTTAAAAGAAAACAAAATCATCCACAAAAAAATAAAATGGAAACTAAGGTACCCTGTGACCAGTAAGATACAAAATAGCTCAGGCTCTTCGAAAAGCAATGGAACATTGAGTAGTATAGCAAATTTTATATTATTATTTGTTGAAAGAACACCTTTAGCATCTCCCTACTAGAAATGTAGCTGCCAATAAATCTCCACATTTTTGAAAATACTGCTTTACATGTTCTTCCTCAACAATATCACACTATTTTTTTTTTCCCTAAGATTCAAACAATTTGAGCACCGTGAGGTTTAAAGAGTAGAAAATGAATGTATAAGAGACAAAAAAAAACAAACAACCAAACCTAAAAATATAAGGAGAACAAGTAGTACTGCATAGACCTCATTGTAAGATTTCTAAAAGAGAGTTTAATACTTACGTAATATTAGGATCTACTTGCTTGTAAGCATGGGCTGCACAAGATCCACAATAGGTATAACCTGCATGGCTGTAAATCAAGTTAAACAGTATTAACTATGTTTAACATTTTTGTAAAACACACATAATATTTATATTTTTATTAAATATTAGCATTTTCATCCCCTAATAGCTAGAAATAGCAAGAATAATCCCCAAACCATCTCATGGAACAGCTGAAGAGCACTATTCCAATACTGAATGCATGCATGACGTATTTGTAAAAGAGCTAGCAGTAAACATGCAGTAGGCCTCCTTAATCAAAGCACCTTTCATTATTTATAAAAGATACAGTAAATCCACTGCATAACTGCATACTGTCAGAAGCTCACAGTAATGCTGAGAGTGCAGCCATAAGATATGGAAATAATACAATGTTGGAGGAAGTCTTCCTAACCAGACACGTATAACTCAATATGGAGGACAGTAGAAGAATCTGGCAAAAGCAGACTATGTGTTACAACTGCAAGGAGAATAAAAATATTAGGTCAACGATGAACACCACCCTCAGCAACAGAATAAGTGGGCACAAGGAAGGGAGTGGAATGCAGCATGATGCATATACACAGATAGTATCTAGAGCAGGTTATCCTCAAAATTATCCCTGGATTTTACTTCAAAAGGGTACACTACTGTAGACTAGGCGGAGAAAAGGGAGACAGAGTGAATCAGCCAGGTTAACAGAGCCTTCAAAAGGTTCCATCTGACGCGAGTCTTTCTGTCCTTCACAAAGATTTTATTAGCCATATTCCACCATTAGAGATATCAAAACAAAGGCATAGGTGAATGAAACAATTCAGCAAGGCCACAGAAGTATCTCCAACGGTTCTGGAGAAAGAATTCACCTCATCTAAGCTGCAGCTAGAAAGTCTTTCTCCAGATATTCCTGCAAGAAAAGAGCACGGCAGACTGGGGACAATTTCTTCCATTGATTCAGTACTATTATGAAATACTTCTAACATCACGTTAACACTATGATCCAACAGGAAATACAGGAAGTGAATTAAGGTGCATTTTCTAGAATTTCCTTCCTACTCACAAGGAATTGGAATACTCAGCATACCTTTCTTATATGTATGCCTTCACTACAGTCATTAAATTTAGTTCTACCTAAATAACTTAAATGATGCTTGTTTCTCCCGTAGACCAAAACAAATAAAACACACCAAAAAAAAAAAACAAAAAAAAACCACCCAACAAAAGCAAACCATTTTTGACTGCTGGAAAATGTTTCAGTGCAGTTTTAGCTTTGCAAAGTTGTTTTCTCTTTGCTGACTTCAAAAATAAATGTACGCATGGCTGTTCAGTGCTATAACTGCATTGAAAGAGTCATCTTAGGCTACCGCTCCATCTCTTATCTTAGTGGATCACAAGGAAGAGATTATTTCTTCAATCCATCTGCAAAACAAAACTGACTATATACTAAGATGATCATGGATTTATGCTACTTCCGCTTCATTTTCTAAATATTATCTGGAAAAAAAAACAAACCATCCACATGACATTCCTTTCAGCTATAGTCAAGATTTTCCCAGTTTTCAAAAATCACTCAGAATAAGTATGTATTTAGCAAACCAAATATTATATACGCCAAAAATAGTCTTCAAACTTACGGTGCAATAATGGCTCTAGCAGGTCTCTTTGTGGACTGTACTTGAGAAAGCCAGCCTTCTAGTTGTGCATTCAGCTGGGGTCCTATGAACATATAAGGAAAAACTGAAGCCATTAAAAAAAAAAACAAAAACCAAAACAACCATATATATAATTTATATTTATTATATATATATATATATATATAAATAACATATATAAATATATAAAACACCTCCATAATCAATAATTAAAATAATCTTAAACTTCAAGGCCTGTGTCTCAGTCCAGAAAAAGGAAGTGTAAAAACCAACATGCCTGTAATGTTCAAGTTTGCACTAGAGAAGTTCCAAACTCCCAGTCCTTGAAGTCAATTTATTCTACATCCACATGCTGTCTGGATAGATGCACATCATTAGAAAGCATGGCCACTGATCTCAAAAGGGAGCTCAGTAGATTATTTATTCTTCCAGTAATCGTATTCACAGAATTTAGTAGTGATAAGACAACATATGCCAAGAAAAAACAATATTGGAAGATGGTGTGCCCTATACATATTGAGATGATGATGGCCAACAGTAGTATGATAGAATACAAAGCACAACGTAAAGCATGTTGTAAGCTGGAAGAACTGTAAAGAAGACAGCTTAAAATAAATGCTAGTACTAACTCCACAACAGCTTCCAATCATACACTACAAGTACATATACTTCTTGACATAAACTTAGCTACATATTTCACAGACCAGATCTCATCCCCTCTCAAGAGCAGCATACAGCTACACAAAACATTGCCAATATGCCAGCTTTTGTAGAAGGGGGTGGTAGGAGGGGAAAGGACTTTCTTTGTGCTTGTAAAGATTCCCATTTTCTTACATGTAGAAGCTGAACACTTACTGCAACTCCTTTCCCTCAATCTACAATCACCTCCAGGGCCTCAGATGCAGCCTACACCTTTAATGTGGCACAAGTGGCATGCTGCAGTGCTGTAACCTTATAAAGCAATGAATCTGTCCAAAATACCCACATATCAATTTAGTTCTGCTGCTTCTACTGCACGCTTTTAAAATTAAAAAACAAAACAAAAAAACACCTTTTTTTTTCCTTAATTCTCCCAAAACGTGTTCAAGAACTTTCTAAAAAAAGCTCTTTAGGAAAGAACTCCTTGAAACATCTCCTAACCAGAGTCTTAACCAACCCATGAATCAGCCCCAGCTTCGCCCTTCTCTCCAAAAAGGACTCGGTGCAACTCTACAGCAGAAGTGCCAGGAGCTTACAGGCAGCCTGAGATAGACTTGGACTCACCCCCAGCCAATGTGTTTGGCCTTCTTTCATTCCTTCTCCAGCAGCTATTTTTGATTAAGAAGGCAGTTAAGACGATTTATCTTTCATTAAGACAAATCAGGTAACTCACTGGACAGTTTGAACACAAGGTGCAGAATCTTTGGTAGTTTTCTAACACTCCATATGATTGTTCAGAGAGGACCAAAACCAGAACTTCTGCTCTTACAGTGTAGTGAAGTAAGGTGTCCTGTTTGCTCGGTCTGCTGGTACAGACTTCTCTTTCTACAGGCAATAAAATCACTGACAAGTCTGTGTAACCCAAGGGATGGAACTTCTATCAGTGTTTACTCAAGGATGGAGTAACAGGTTTTCTTTCAGCCTTTTCTCCCCCCTTTAATGGTGACTTTGAAGATCATTAACTCAAACCTAATCCTGCAGTTTCCCTATCAACTAATACATCTTTTTGAAATTACTTGCATTAGAAAATGTAAGTAATCAAATCCTTTTCCAAAGGAAGCATGCAAAGGAAAATGAAATAACAAACAAACAATAAACCCCCCCCACACATACCCATCCAACCTTTTAGTAAAATAAAACCCAAATAAACCTCAGTGCCCCCAGGAGAACTCGCATTACTGACAGGATTACCTGCAGCTCCCTGTTCTTACAAATATTTTCAGGGGGATATTCTAGCACTGTAATTTCCTTGTTAGCACATTACCCAGGGACAGAAAGCTACTGTTAGCATCAACTTAAATCGTTCAGAGAGGTTTTTCTTTCAGTTTATCAAACATGACAGCGCTTAAGGCTAAAGTCAAAATATTTGAAATGAATATATACAATATAAATAAGCCCACATTATCACAGTAGGTATGTTCTGCCATATGGGATGATATAATAGGAGACGAATAGCACCGTAAGTTTTCTTCATATGTGAACGTGAGTTAAAATAGAAAAAAGCTTTTGCAAACAGTCTCCAGATAAGTGAAACAATCAACTCTTCAGCTGGCAGTGTTGCCTGTCTAACCTTGCGCTGCAGGGGTGGGAAGGAAGAGGGGTTCCTGTCTCTTCAGTACCAGGTAGAAAGCCCAGCCTGGGAAAGCTGGCAGATAGAGCAACAGTTTGGCTTTTTTTTTAGGCCTCAGAAAGCCTGCTGAATTCTGTGAACAGTCAGCGTGCTTCAGCATTAATACTGCAAGATGAGACCTGTCCTTGACTGAAGAAAGATTAAGCAAAAACCATGAGCTTCACTGAAACAAGTAATATTATGACAGGATTTCAATCCTCTGAAATAAGGTATAAGTATGCAACTAAAGAATGTTGACGTTATCTATGGATATTTCACATCCTGTTTTGTTTAGCAAACTGGCAGAAATTCCACCAACTAAGAATAATTGTGAGTACAGACCAAGTCTCCAGCAGACAGATGTACAGGGACAGCTACAGACACAGTTGGTTCAAGTTTCCTGCCTAGAAGCTGCACTTATTTTTACAATCAACATCATCCAAAGCAGTGAGCAAAAAGGAATCATTCCATTAAAATAATGGTTAATAATGGTTAAACGGTGTTACCTCATGTATCAAACATGCAGCACTCACACACTTTGGTTCATCACCTCTATTTAGACTCTTCACAGTGCAGGCTTTGTAAGCTGCACCAAAGCAACACATGTTCCACATAGCCAACCTTACATTGCTGGATGAGACTGAAGCACTCATATGCCACAGCCAGCAGAATATATTGGAAACTTGCTCTGGACACAGCCACCACCATTACCAGTGCAAAACCTCTCTTTTCAGGCCGGTGATTTGAAGTCTCTTTTACAGTGGGTGTCACTTTCATTGGCAGAGCATAAGGCTCAATCAAAATTCTGAGCAGTACATGGGACACCTGTCTGATCTCTCAGTCATGCATATATAACAGGTGCAGCAGTACAAGTAGTGGTGGAGCACAGTGACAGTAACACTGTTTATAACATGATTTGTTCTCAGAACATGGCTAATTACTGCATATGTACTGTGAGGAAATGCAGACTCTGTCCCCAGCTTTTATGCTTCTACTTTCAGCTTTTGCCCATCTAGCCATGCGCTGTTCTACAGGAACCAAACCTCTTCTTCACTGCACCTTACTCCTTGGATCTTCTCGTTATCTTTACCTATAGATGGGAAAGTCTACAGAAGTAATTCTAATACATTCTACAGCAGATATACTTGTTAAGTCTCTAGTCTTGTGTCAGGTTAGAAAAACCGAGGTCAGTAACAGTGAAACCTTGGGGGCTACCACAAAGCAGTTTCATGATAAACTGGAGGAACTCCTATGCCTGCATTTTCAAATGGGAGTCTAAACCAATCCAACTGTCAGGCAGACTTCAGTTTGGAACGTGACAGAAGACTGACTAGTTTCTCTTCTTAGTTACAACTGCAGAAATATAACGGTTGTTTTAAAAACTACAGGTTCCACTCGAAAAAAAAAGTGCTTATTTCAAACGGCAAACGCCAAATTCTTGAATAAAAAACAGGCTTTGTACTGACAAAGACTGGAATTTGTCAGGAATAGGAAATGGCTTTCAAAGGCTTGTGTTGATAAGCACATTCTCTGCTGCTGTGATATAGACTTTTCCAATACTGAATACTGATGAAACACTGAAATCAGCCTAAGAGCAAGGCAGAAATTTACTTAGGCGAATTGCAGGACTGCAAAAGAAAACATTAAAATACAAATGAAGATTAGACTTACGATACATAAATTCCTACTTTACACACTGCAAGATGAACATAAAACAGCAGGTAATGCTTGAATGAGGGAATATAAAACTGAAGCCACAACACTGAAATCTGCTTTGGTGGCAGTTCCCACGGGCACGTGCCAGCTTTCCTGTATTCTACCAGTTCTAATTTGCTTCACCGAAAGCTATTGGGAAATAAATAATCAAACACTGTCTACATCCATTAAGAACATCAGCCAACACGCACCTACTTTATGAAATCCTCCCCAGCTAGGCCATTCAGAGACAAAACAAACGACCTTCTGTTCTGTAGCTCCAAGAAAGTGATTTAGACTCTAATGTGAAACACTTAGGTGCTAAACGTAATCAGAATTTGTGTAAGTATTCACAAGGTGATACTTGCAGGACTGTTTTAGGAGCACACCAAACATAAAGCTCTTTTTCAATTTTATTTGCACCATAAAAGGTGAAGCTTTACTTTCTTGGAGTGTCTTGACTTCAACTGTGTTTAAGTGATCCAGCTAGAAACAATAGCCAGGGAAGTGTATTTAAAATTACTTCAGTATACTTTTGCACTGCACAATGTTGAATAGAGAAGTCTGCACGTTAATGCTGGATCTCTTACAAATTAATCATGGAACACAACAACGCATCCACTTTTCCCATAAAATTTCTAAGAAAGAAGATCAAAAGGGGAGAAACATTACATGCAGTCTTTAACCTCTCAAAGCAAATACTGAATTCTTGAGATAATACAATTAGTTGTTCACAGATTTTAAGGTAAGAACAGTTGTGCTTGGCTGCATCTGAAATGTGCCAGCTAATGTCACAACAGTAAGACTTTGTGGCCAGTAATTAATTATCTTGCAAACATTATTAGTGAAAAGAGCTGTGTACAGCAGCATCAGGTCACTATTTCCTCTCATTTCACTGTCCCTCACGTTTTCTTTTTCTCCTGGATCCACTGCACTTACCCAAGACAAACAACATGGTGATGTTTACATGCATTACTTCCGCAGTATGTTTATGAATGCGCCTTGGTGAGTTACTCCAAATTATGGGAGCGCACCAGGCTTACTGGCACACCAGATTATGGACTTCCAAAAAACTTGGATGAAACAGCAACCAACTCCCTTAGCCCTCTCCCATACCCGCATTCACAGTCTAACAGCTCACAAAGCCACTCGCATCATTCACTTTTGGCCCCTTCTACCACCACAGACACTCGGGCTCAGCAAAGCACTGAGCAGCGGCTCTGTGCTGAGTGAAGGCAAGATGCCGTGGCTCCAGAAGTCAGTGGGAGGCACCCCAGCAGCCACATTTGTCTTCAGAACGCATGCAGAAGGCCTGGCAAAGACCTGACACTCATTCGAGAAGACAGTCGCTGAGTAGAAATGGCTGTAACTGATGTACACGCTTTTTTCTGATAGTGATAAGAAATGAACACAAGACAACCATAAGGTTCTACCCCTCACTCAAATATCTATGCAGAGATAGACTATTTACTTGGCTCATCACACAAAGTAACTCAGGACTGCAATGGCCTTTCAAGTCAATGCAGTGATTACTATGCCAACTTACATTTGCATTAAAAAGCATACAGAAATTAAGGTCAAAGGATTTGGTACAGGCTACCAGAGCCACACTTCTGACCACAAGGCTTAGTCACAGAGAACAGAAATAAAGCGTACCTAACACGATGACAAACCCATTTTACAGGACAAATTTCAACTCATGCAGTATTGTCACCTACACGGTCAATTTGATTTTGCTCACGTGATTTGGAACAACTCACTCACGTCCTTTGTGTTTCAATTGTATCAGGATGCCACTGACTGGAGAAAGGTTGAGACAAGAGGACTTATCACACACTCTATTAAGGAGTGCTGTAGTATTCGATCAGCACTTCTAGGAGCCAGACAAGGCAGGCTGGCTGCCAGTAAATGAAGTGTGTTAAGCACCCCGTGTGACATCTCATCTGTAACGGCACGCTACACATAACGTAAGAAGGAAAGATAACCGGATACACAAAAAATAATGTTTATCCTCATTTCAGGCATGCATGGATCAATGTCCCACAGAACTGGCCAGGTTGGCTGGGGCCCTGCGCAACCTATCTAGTACTTGATCCAATGGTTGACAATGCTGCCTTGGGTAGAGGTGCTGGAACCTGACAACCCTTGAGATCCTTTCCAACATAAGCCACTCTATGATTCTATCTAGGAAAGCATCTGTCCTGCATTTCAAGCCACGGAAAATTATGCAATTTTTGTTTCATGTTGTCCCTAATCGTCTCCTTTTCCCTGCTGGTCAAAATCAATTTCTCAAGAGATCTGAATGCTAAGCAATTGAATTAACCCAGCAGGATTTTCTTCCAAAAATAAATCAGTGTACAATTTTTCACCACAGAATGATAATACTTCAGAAATATACATGCATCTGTTAGAGCAGAGCAACAGGTTCATCATTTTGTCTACATTAGTATGCCTGTATCTAATTTTCGCAAGCAGTTTTAGCAGCCACCATACATCAGGTTGCTAGGCCAGAGAAGCAATGGCACGTCACGTACTTTTTCAGACTTTCAGTAAAAAAACAACAACATACAGACAGAAGTCTGGAAGTGACAAAAAAAAGTTACTTAGATCAGTAGCCTACTCTTAGCATTGGTCACAACAGTACATTTTCAAAGCTTACTTGCAGAGCTTCCCTTTTTCAGAGCTGCTGCTAAGTTGAAGGAGGAACATTGTTCTTAACTGTCTGACCAAATACATCTCATTAGACAAACGCTCTACAAGTCCACATCTAAAGTCCATTAATATACTACTCAGACTGATGTGGGACAAACACGAACTTCCCTACACCAAGAATTCTAGAAGATATGTGATATTCTATCATAATTATCATCATCCAGAACTCAACTGCAGAAATTTATTAAGGAAGTTGCTTTTTAAGTGTTCTTTTACAATAGCACGGTACGGATGTAGAGTACTTTGGAAGTTAAGCACTACCACCACCATGAAGCGTCCCCCAGCTTCATTGACAAGCAGAAGTTGCAGTGCTTTCTGCCTGTGACATCACCCTCCCTCTCTCAACAACGAAGTTGTTTACTTACAGCTAGATATGACACACTAATGTGTAGGCACGCCTAGATGTGCATAATCAGGCAGCCAGTCTCAACAGCTCTGAAAAGTTTGTTAACATCACACAATTAGGTGATGTATTCTCACTAGAATGTAGCGCATGTTTATATTTTCCAAGGCAGAACACCCAAGCAGTACATATTCCATAGCTGGAGAAAACAAAGTGGAATGAGGGTTTATTTTCAGCTGAAGCAATTGTTGCCCTACAAAAACGATTGGTCTTCAATGAGAAAGAACAGTATTTCTTGTAAACCCTTTTAAGGGCATCCTTTCAAGGATATCCTTTAGCCACAATTCTGTTTTCCATTTCAGATCTGTTCTTCACCCTCTTCTCCCTCAGCTTTCAGGGTCCTCTTCTCAGCTAACTTAATCTTTTTCCCAGATCAGACATCGACTGTCAGATCTTATAAATTTTTGAACATGTCCTTCAAGAACCACATTTCTTGTTGCCCCTTTTGGACAGATGTAGCAGGCTAATAGTCATCTTATCTATGGAGCGAGATGAGGGTTCCCAAAGTACCTGCTTGCTCTGCACAAGGGAGCTCAGCTCTATTGAAATAGAACAGTTTTCAGGAAATGGGAAGCTTAAATGCTAACCAGTTGAATATAACCCATCAAATCGCTTCTGGGCCTGGATGGTAAGCACAGAGGGTGTAGGTAGAAGAACTTGATTCCTGCAGAATCACAGGAATGCAAAGAACTATCGCTATTCTAATTCCATGGTAAACAAATGCCCTCTTGGTCCTCATCTGTTTCCTGCTCACTTTTCATAGACCCTCCCCAAGTAGAATTCAAGAATGAGTTCCCAGGCAGCAAACTACATGTAGCCCCTATCTGCAGCCTCACACACCCTACGTAAATGGCACACAACAGCTCTACAGAAAGAAACATTAATAAAGTTCTCTCATTTATAAAAGAATCCCCCCAAAAGGTAAAAACATCACCCAAAACTTGCAGTCTATGCAACATTATCCACCAACCCCAAAGCCACACACTAGCAGTTACAATTTAACTTGTCAGAAGTACCATCAGCACAACTAGTTAGAACATGATTCCCTTTAATATCCTTGTTTGGTTGTTTTCTTGCAGGGAGGTGCCTGCCACCCTACCCAACCCCTCCCCAGCCATTAATAGCCACAGGCAGCCAGAGAGTTTCTGGATGTCCCACTACAGACAAGTCCTACTGGCCAAACTGGTCACGCAGACCTACAGAGATGTAGTCCCACAGAACTACCTGCTGAATTCACACAGGGAAAAAAAAAACAACAACAAAAAAAAACGCCGGCAAACAGTAGCTATGCCTCACGAATTAATTATGATGCAAAAGTAGATATTGTTTTATTTGCAACCTGGAATGAAGCCAGCATCAAAATCAAAGCTACAAGATATAGCTAAGGTCCTTTAGCAATTCCACATTGCAAAGCCATTTTCTGCCATATTAATAAACAAAACGACAAGAAGCACAAACAGATGTGATGGTGTCACCCAGTCTTAACATTCTGATGTTCTCACGTTTAAAAATACCTTTGACACAGTCCTGTTTGCTTGCTAGAGGGCAACTGCCTTTCTCTCCAAACAACTGGAAAACTAAATTCAAGCTGTCTGCTCCAGACACAGTTTGGAGGCCAGTTGTGCAATGGACACAGCCATTATGCCTCCAACGTGAGGCTCAAAAGGAAGACAGTCATTCTCTATTGTTGTCTGGAAGCAGACAGCCACAGCCGACAGCCCTGCTCCTTATCTCACAGCCTGCATCTTCCGGTATCACCTCCCCCGTGTATTTCTTTACTTCCTTTCCAGGTTTTTTTTTTTTGCCTCATACCTTATTCATTACTTTGGGAAGGAGAGAGGAAACCGCTTCATTACAGCCAGGAGAAGTCCTTTATAAATATCAGTTTAGGATTCTGAATACACAGAGGGCTTTGACTGCACCCTTCCCCTATCTCTGCAACCCAGGTGTTCTCTACAAGAACCTCTCGCTCACCCACATTTCTGCAACGGTCTTTATCCCCAGGGCCAACAGCGGACTGTCTGCTGCACGTCATTTCAGTAACAGCTGTGGAAACGCAAGTGGGATTCCCACACAGCTCCAAAACCCAGCAGAGGGTACCGCCACGCACACGTGCATAGAAACAGAGCCATTCCTGACTTCTGACGTGAGGGTGGGGAGCTCCCCCCCTCCAACGCACCACCTCCTTTCTGCTCTTTTCGCACCAATATCGCATTTAGAAAAGGCACACAGCCCGCTCCGTACAACCGCTAGCACAAGAGGAGCTTCGGAGGAGCAGCCACGAGTCGGGCCGCAGGAAGAGAACGAAGCCTCCTCCTACCCCCCAGCCCGGCACCGACCCCTGCAGCACACGCTCCACACCCTCTAAACCCCAAGGAGGAACCCCGGGGCACTCGGCCCCGGACACAGCGCCGGGAGGGGCACACGGCGACACGAGCGGGGGGGGCCGCCGACACGCCGCCAGCCTCGGCCCCCGCTTGCCGCGGCCCCCCGCCCGCCACGTGCCGGCCGCGCCGTCGGGGCGGGGCTCGCCGCGCTCCCCGGCCCCGGCGCAAAGTGCTGATTCAGCCCCCACCCCCCGCCCCGGGCCGCGGCGCCGCTACCTGAGGCAGTGTACCAGCTGCCGGCGTGGCTGGCCTCCCGGCAGAGCACCCGGTTGGACATCTTGGTGCCGGAGCCGCCTATGGTGTTCGGGGGAGCCGGTGGGGGACGGGCCCGGCCGCGGCGGCGGCGCTGCTCCCCCTCCTCCCCCGGCGCGGCCCGGGCCCGGCGGGCGGAGGCGGCGCTGCCGGCGGCGCCTCCGGGCGGGCGGACGGGCGGCGAGCGGGAGGGGGGCGCCCGGGGGCGGCGGGCGGGGCGGCGCTGGCCGGTGCCGCGGGGCCGCGCTCGGCCGCAGGCGCTCGCCCCGCGGGAGGCGCCGGGGGGGGAGGCGGGGACGAAGCTCGAGGCTGCCGCCGCCAACTCCGCGCCGGCGGGTGGGGGACGCGGAGAGAAGGGGGACGCGGCCGCGACTGGGTTTGGCCCGGCTCGGCTGCCGTGGTCTAAAGGCCGCGCGGGCGCCGCTCCCCCATTGGGCACGAAAGCAAAAGCCTCGCCGCCATTGGGCGCCCGGCCCGTCCGTGCCCGCCCCCCGCTTTGACAAGCCCGGAATGGAGCGGCGGCGGCGCCTCCGGGGGGAAGGCGGAAAGGGGCGGGGCCCGAGGTGAGAGCCCCCCGCGGATTGGCCGGCCGCGTTGCCGTGGTTGCCGCTTGTGCCCGCGCTGATTGGCGGGGCCGTGTCTCCGTGGTGGAAGGGAAGATTACGAGCGCGGGTCAGATGAGGGGAAGGCCGCGCCGGGGCTGGGGGGAGGGGGTAGCGGTGCCGCGGGCAGCCACGCCCCCAGGCCCCGTCCAGGCCACGCGCGGGGCTCGCGGCGGCTGCTGCCGTTGGGGGCGCGCGACCCTCCGTGTGCCGGCCCGGGCCGTGCGCGCTCCCGTTCCTCGGGGTGCCCCGTGCCGGGAGCGGCGCGCCGGCCGTCGGTGGCTCCCGCTCTCCGCGACGGTCACTTCGGTGCGCCGCCGCTTTGTTCTGCGTTTAGCGAGATGTGCCGGGCTCCGCGCTGCTTCCGCCGAGGGTGCCCCGGAGTGTCTGTCAGTATTCTTCTGCGGACGGCCCTTATGGCTTCTCCATCGGGGACGTCAGATCCCAGCGGCAGCGGTCGCAGGCTGACGGAGCAGAGTTCTCCGGAGGACCTCCTTGGGCCGAAGCTCCCTGTTCTGAGGCAGCGCGATTTCCCACCCGCTCCCGTCCGTACGTGCACGGCTCGGCTTTGCCACTGTGGCACGGGAGTACTGTGTAGAAGTCTCTAATTCTCGGCTTAGTGCTTCCCCACCCCTTTAATGGACTGCTGCTATGGAGACGCCAGGCTTAGCTCAAAATGGCTAATAAGGCGAATTGGAAAGAGAAGCGTGGCCGGTACGAACGGGGGAAGGGAAGAGGTCCTTTTTGCCACTGCTATATGCGATGCGGCCAGGAGAGAGGGGAGGGCGGCAGCCATCCGTGTGCAGAGGTACGCCGATGCGCTGTGAGGTGGGAAATGTCTGGGTCGGCTCAGGAGATGCATTCTCCTCCTCCCCGTGCCATTTTGTTCTTTGAAAAATCTCGCAGCCGAAGCTATAAATGCAGGCAGAACGCACGACTTGTTCGTTTTTTGAACGGCAGGACAAAAGAAACACGGGGATACAGGCACCGCTCGAGGTGCATCCGGTGGATCAAAAAGGCCAGCGCTGCGGCTCAGTGCTTCACTTCGTTTCCATCAGCGAGGATCCTCCCCTGCTCCCCCACCATCAGCCTCACCATGAGGGGCTGTAACACCTGGGGCCTGCACTGAAAACAGTGTTTGTAAGGGGTTGTCATGAGGAGATGGGCACTGACCGTCCCAGCAAACACCGTATGTTTTCAAGGAGCCATTACTGCTTGATCCCTTCAGTATGCAGTTGTTACTTTAAAAACAAAGGTTGACGTGGACTGTAACTGCTGGCTGGACTAGGAATATTATCCCACCAAACTACTGTAACACAAAAATATCTTGGCAGTTAATTTTTTTTTTTAACTGGGAATCATATGGCAAATCTTTTACACAAACTTAAATGCTGTGAATATTTCCTGAACTGACTATCAATAACGTAAACCAAATGCATCAGAAGACAAAATAAGGGGGCAAAAATCAGAATTGTGATTATATGCTACAAAAAAGGTTATGCTGGTGTATAGCTAAAGCATTTAATGCACTGTTGTCCCACAATCCAGCAGAGGAATTATAGGTTAATAGTACTTTTTTTTTTTTTAAATTATCTGGTATTTGTCTCTATGATTTAGAGGAAGAGCTTTCATCCCTAAGCACAAAGCAAGTAAAATATAAGAACTTCCAAGTGAGTCTAGACTATTTAATGGATAAAAACATTGCTATAAGATTACCATTTATAAGAGGTATCAATGCCATGTAACTCAGTGCCTTGATTAGTTCTAGACATGCAAGCACACCCACACGCACTCCTAAGTGACACCATTCATATGACCACAGCAAGCGACTTATTTGCTTTTCCAATACAATAGGTCGTAGATCATTATCACACCTCCAGCTCTTTCTCTGCCCTATTCTTAAAGTCATATTAGAATTCTAGAATTTTCGTAAGAAGATTAACTTCTCACACCATTCTGAGTTTGTTTTATAAGCAAGCTATGTTTTGTAAGGGCTTTTTTTGTTTGTTTTATTGCCTTTCTTTATGTATCATTTTTGATTTCTTTCCTTTTTCCTCTTCAGCTTGCCTTTATACATTTCTTCAGTATTTCTCAGCTTTGTTGTTGAATTCCCCTTGGGATGAATCCCTTTTTTCCTTGTGCTTCCTTTTTTAAACCTTTGCTTTTTGCATTGACAGTTATTTCTTTGATTAGACGTTAGGTATAGATTAAGTCCCGTGTGGCACGAATATGTTATCAGCGTAGATGCAAAGAATGACTGTATCTCAGTGTTAACAGGTCATAGAAGACAAAGGCTTTTTCAGATACCTAGATTGTGGCATATGCCACCACTTGCAAGAGCCTATTTGCTGGGGAATCTCTGTCCTTTGTTACCAAGTAACACTACAGATCCAAAACCCAGTAAAAGTGGAGGACATCCTCCTCAATTTCTACCTTTTCCTCACAAAGCCTGTCATCTGCACTACTATGGGAGAAATTTCCACTGGCAAGGGTGACACGGCTTAGTTTCTTTCATCGTTCCTCATCCCAGGTAACATAAAGCAGTAGTCAGTGATTTGTGGGTTCTTCTTCATGAACTTTTAATCACTGCCTCCTGATCATGAATAGTTTCTTTGTTTCTTTTAAGGGCTGGTAGGGAGGCAGAAATAAAAGCAGGCAGCTCTTCAGATAAACAGGAGAAGGTGGTGCTGGGGTTCCTGGTGCTCAGCACACAGAGGAATGGAAATGCTTTAGCCACAGGCTGAGGAACTGGACTCAATGAGTGCTGTTGGAGCATAGGTCGAGAGCTTCTCCTGCTTTGTTTGCAATTATTCTGAACATCACTTGTACAGGGAGAGGTGACAGGAACACCTGTTCAGCTCAATTTCAGTCATGCCTTCTCTGATGTGCAGGGCAGGGCTGAGTCAATGCATAGACAGATTCCTCAAGTCAGCATTCTCTTAAGCACAGACTCTCACTGTATGTATATTTCTGCTGGCAGTTTTGTCCCTACCTGGAAGCATGAAGGCAGACTGTGGCAAAAATGACTTGCAGTTTGGTGTGAACTCAGCAGCAGGGTTTTCCTAAAGTACATGCTATGCTTTGCTTGGATGACTCAGGTCTTCAGCTGGCCCAGTTTTCTAGCTCTTTTGTTTCCCTGTCTTTTTCTCTTGTTCTCTTACACATGCTTTATTTTGAGTTCTTCCCTATCTTGCTTTCCACATTGCCCATTTCCAGTCTACACCCTTCTCAGGAACTTGTTCCCTGCCATTGATATTCTGATTCTTTCCTCTTTACAAACTGTCATTGCCAGCTGTCATTCACCACATGAGGAACCTGTTGTTGCTAGCAGTCCTTCCTTCTAGTGTTAAAAGCAATAAAAGCAGCCCCACCTAAGCTTCATATTTCTTAAGAGAAATGTTACCACTTCCTCTATAAAGTGATAGCATCTCAGATCATTTAAGAGGATAATGTATTTTTTTTTTCTGGTTACTGAATGGTAACTTTTGTATATTAGATCTGAAATGGTCATCTTGGAAATTGTGCTGTACTGCTAATCAAAAATTGCTTTATTTTCTGCTGAATTTTATTACCCTTTTGAGGGTATGCTAATTCAGTTACCCAGGGGACTGCAAAGAAAATGAAAAAAGCAGTTGTTCAAGAGATATGGCTTTCATCTATTTAGCAATGTTACTAAAGTTAGTGTTTTCCTTCATTTCTTTAAGCTTTTATCTTAATCATTTGCAATGCCTTACATCTATTCTCCATTTTATTATTTAGTTCCTATTTTTATAAAAATAATATCATTGGTATATAGTTTATATTTCAAAACTAAATACATTTTACCTTGAAGCCTTCAGAACTGTTTTGTTTTTTTTTTTTAAAAAAAAAAATCATATTCCTTTCTTTCTGACTTAAAATGGGATGCATGTGTCATACCTCTTCATATATATATATTTGTTTCTTTGTTGCCAGGAAGAGTTTAAACAGGTAAATGCTTTAAAAAATGTATCATTACTTTCTTCACTTTGAAAACTAGAATAATCAGACATGATCTGATAATAATAACTCACTATCTTCTTCCTGTTACAGGATGTTTCCCATGTGGGTAGTCCTAGTTGCTGAAGACCAGTTCACAAGTAAAGGAATATGGTTGCACTTTCTTACTGACGTGTCACACCCTTCTATGAGTTGATAAAATACCTTAAGAGCTCCTACATTCACTGCTGCTGGTAATATTTCACCTTATTTTCTTGGACGAAGCTTCTCCATGGAGCAGCTACAGTAAATATATTATTATCTTGTGAGCATGGCTTTTTCATTCTCTTTATCTGGTCTCATTGGGAAAGCAACAGCAGGTTATACCACGTACCAAACATGGTGGTGCCAATTGAGTAGCTGGCATGCTGCTGGAGGAGTGGCTTGCCTGAAAGCTTGTACTGATGCCTGATGAGCCAAGAGCTGTTTTCAAGCTTTTGTGCAGCTACCTGAAGGAGTCCAGTGTAGCCCAGCAGTCTAGCCCATGCACACATT